TTGTTTAGTAACTGGGGAAAAAACCCCTGTCGAGGTAGCAAAAGTAAGAAGGGGAATTTCAATAAACTTCCACTGAAGTTTGTCACCAGGATTCCTAGTCAAACAAAAAAGAAAAGTGGAAAGGAGTTTAGGTCTTTGGAATTGAATTAATAATAAAACTACCATTTATCAAACATTCACCATGTGCTAAGAGTTTGAAATGTATTATTTCATTTAATCCTTTCAACAACCAGTGGGATACGTATTATCCTCATTTCCCAGATATAGAAACAGGGCCAAAGAAATCAAATATCCAGATATAGAGAGTTAGGACTTGGTGGGGCTGGAATTAGAATTGAGATTTACCCAAATCAAAGTCTGTGCTCTTAGTCATCATTTTTGTTAATCTGAGTTGGTGCGACCTAACCCAATAATCTAAGATTTAATACCGAACTGTGTTCCGCTATGATTCTGAGAAGTCAAGGCCATTTTCCTGCAGGAACACAGGATGCAGAGTCCTGGCCTGTGTTGCTGTTACCACGATGCTTTCTGTAGAATTGATTTTTTATCATGGTTCTGTGCTCCTTTATAAATTATCAGTGGCATTAATAAATTATTACGTTATCGAAGCAAACACATTGGCCCTGTAGCGAGGGAAATGAATAGAGATGGAAAAGTAAATGCCTGACATTCTTGAAGCCCTGGGCATGTGTTTATGCTCAGTAAAGTATAAACAACAACACCAGAAGAGGTGGTCTGTGCCAGGGAATGGTCAGTGGCGGCATGGAGAGCCCAGGCAGAGACTGGCTATGAGCATCTCCTCCTTTTTATTCTCCTCGACAACAGCATATGTGATTGTTCTCAGGTAAATTCTGGTGCAGTGAAATCACGACCATAGCATCTGTTACCTGGGACCATCTTACCAAATGCCCCTTCCCTCCATGGCTTATTCAATAAAGACTGCTTTCAATCTGAAAAAGTGATATCTACATTTAGCCAGTATGCCATAGATCATGGAACTGTCTACAGTGATTAGGTGGGTCACTTACAAAAATAAATGCACTATGTCCTCAAATTACTGTACTTTGTGCCTGTCACCAAGAAAGCTCTTTTTTGGAATCTCTGTAAATGTTACTTTGCAATGTAGATTCCATAGCCAAAGTGAAGTGGAAAATTCAGACAGAAGCTGAAATTTTATATCTCCTTCTAGCATCCATAGTGTTTTGAAGGAGGCAGGGGCTGTTCTTATATATAATGCAGAAATAGTTCACCTTTCTATAAAAGCTAACTTAAAAAACTGATAATTTTCAGAATCTATATTTACCCTGACTTAATGGTCATCCTTGAGACAGGATTATATCCAAACGGTTCATGCTGTCCGTGCCTTATTTTCAAAAGTTTCCTTCAGGCTCATGCATGCCCTTTCTCTTCCTCAGTCTTCTTTGATACTAAAAAGGCTTAGAACAAATGTCCATTAGAGCCTTTAGAAACACAAAACGATAATATAAATGTTTCTTCTTTCCTGAACTGAGGTTGGCTGACCAATGGAATATCTCAAGCCAATGCAGGCTTGGGAATTTTGCTTCAATCCTAAAATGGTAATGATGGCTTTTGAAGTTTGGTAGGACTGATATCAAGAAAAAATTTCAAAGATTTTCATAGTTTTTAAAAAAATGTATTT